CGGCCGCCGCAGTAAAACTACTCAAACCCACTGGCCGCATTTTTTAGTGACATTTCCGTAGGGAGGGTTTGCCAAATGGAGAGAGGTATATTTTTCGAGGTTCGAATGGATCGCGTGGTGGAGACTGTACAGTAACAAGCAATGATTCCATGCGCGGGTTTGTCCATTGAGAGAGAATCATGTCTCTTTCGCAGAGGTTGATTGTTCGCGAACAGTCGCTCAATAATTAATTAGATTCACTCGCTGCAAGACATTAAATTTATAGGAATGCAGAATTGACTTTGGCTTGTTCGTAGAGCTCTTTCAATCGAGTTTCGAGTTCTTTTCGTTCATTTTCATCCTTACAGACATTGAGCTCTTCTTTGACACTTTCAATGAGAGCTAGGAAGAGCATTTCATCTTCGTCACTATTTCCAAATCCTTCATAATTGTCATTGAGAGAGCTTGGAACAATCATTTGAGGATAGGAAGGTGATTGGAAGAAGGAGTCATTGTGAGCAGCTTCTCTTGGTATGGAAATTTTTGAGGATGCAGAAGGGTTCTTTTTCGCTGGTGACTCTGAGGTAGAATCTAAAAATCAGTAAAGTATTCTCCTTCTCCATGTTCAAGAGCAACTGGGTATGGTGTCATCATATGGAAAAATATGGTGTGTTGTTAGAATGGATTCAAAAGTGATGGACATCTTAACATGGAATACATTCTAATTAGTCATGATACTTACTTTGTCGACCTTTTTCTGTCACAACTCCTACGTCATTCTTGTGAGCCATTGAACCTTTTGGAATATCCTTATTTTCCAATTCCTTATCATTGCTAACAAGCACATTGTAGAAGAAGATGCACACAGAGTCATACATAAAATCGGGTCTTGCACTATTGTGATCTCCTTCGAATCGAATCATATTCTTGTCACCTGCATAGGTTTCATAGAGCTTTTCAGAGTGATGAATTTTGATAAAATCATCATTCTCGGCATGAGCAAAAGTGCAGGAACAAAACAGGAGCCAGCACATTCAATAGGTGCACATGAACGAATATCAAAACCAGCTTTTCCAATAATTGATTTTCTAATAAGATTAATACCCATTTTGATCATCTTTTTCGGTATCCAAGATTGATACGAGTGAACGAGTTCCATTGCTAAATCTTCCAAAGATGTGAATGGACTGTCAACAACAATTCCAGCAATACTTTGATCTATGGATGCATACATGATGGATGTAGCAGCACCCATCGATCGGCCCCACAAGCCAATTCTACTCACCCTCTTGGTTGACCATAAATATTCAACAATAGTTCCAACATCTTGCTTTTCGTAATTTCCAAGTGACACATAATCTCCTTCAGATAAGCCAGATCCTGTAAAGTCAAAAGCAAACACTGTTATATTGTATGGAAGTAAAATACTGTCATGTGTTGTAGTTTTGAATTTGAAAACGGGAGTTGAGTGTCGAGAACAAGAATGTATGATCATCATTGTGTTGTCAAAAGACCAAGCAGGTCATGTGATATGTGGGTCATGATCACACACGAATGGCACGTGCAGTATTGAAAATTGTGGGGCAAATGATATTTTTGACGAATGATTCCAATTAGACCAATATAAATATCAAGCACAATGTCAATCATAAAAGTTGAAGTGCGATAAATCCAAAGCAACTTTGACACTCACCTGACAGCGTCTAATGCATCACATCTTGATCCACAGTTACCATGACAATAAATCACGCAAGGTAACTTTTCCTTTGTTCTTTGCGATTCAATAGGTTGATAATGTGAGCATTCAATAACTTTTCCTCTCGAGTTTGTCAACTGAAAATCCTTTCTTTCAAAAATTCGATTATCAAGAGTAAATAATTTAGGTCCGAGTGCAATAGAGGGTTCATAGATACATCGTTGGGGTCGGATGATCAAGTTACAAATCTCATCCCATAAATTTCCAATGTTTTTGATATTAAAATTCATAGTGTACGATGAAAAGAGAGTGATGAGGAGGATATTTGGTATGGTACAGTAAAAGAAAATTTGGTGATGACAACTATAATAATAATAATTATAATGGATTATTCTGTAGTGATGAATTGTCGACGTGTTGTTGGAGATGGTGATGATGATGGACCACGTGATGACGATTTTTGAGTCCAAATTTGATAGGAATGACAACAAGGAGATAGAGAGCGGATATCGATATCGGGTCCAGTATTGGGAACAGGAGGAGAGTGATGATGTTTTGAGGTTGATGAACTTTGGGATTCAGAAATACAAAGAACACCACGAATATGTACGATTCGTAACGTGTTTGTTTGTATTCAAATAGAAATAGTCCAATTATATGACCACAGACTTTCTGAAAAGAAGAGGTCCAAAGGGATTTGAATATAATAATTGTAAGTGGGATACGATGATGATCATAGAGCATCAACAAACATACCCTAGCTGCAAGAATTGTGGTTCTTGATTCCGCGGAAATGTCAAAAAAACGAACGGAAGGGTTGCTCTATGTGGTGAATCGTCAGCGATATATTTTTTAGTGTTTTTGACTTCTAACATACCCTAGCTGCAAGAATTGTGGTTCTTGATTCCGCGGAAATGTCAAACAACAATGTCAAACAATGGCATGAAACACAAGGATACAATGTCTCACAGAATTAAGGACACTACTGTGGGAATATGAGTGATAGGTGGATAACGATTGGTGTTTCCTTCATTTTGTAAAGATGCGGATCATTAATGATGTACAAATGAAAAACATTTTTGCAACACAAATCATAAAAGTACAATTTCAACAATCTTTTCGAACCATTTGATGCAATTTACCATTTCAACACAAATCTACGGACGTTAAAGGTTTGAAATGTTCATTGAATGATACCTTGTTACTTGTGGAACTACTAGCCAATTTTTTTTGGAATTTGTAAACATGAACCTCACCAGGTAACCACAGTTTAGTGGTTGTGAAGACCAAAACTTTAGTTTCAATTCTTTGCACCTATACCTTCATGATGGCATTCAAAATTATAGAGTTTAACTTTTAAGAGTATCCAATTATTAAGACGTCTTTCAAAAAAATACATCCTGCAGAGCTTGAATTTCTTCAGGAGGTGCAAACGTTTGACTCTGCGTTAAAATTTTCTCTTTGAGTGATCAATCAACAACAACAACAGCAATAATACTCTTTCAAAGATGCTTCCCTCACAACATCCTGAAATTGTTTTACTGGATGATGATGATGATGATGGAGAGGATGATGAACAAATAACACCGATTCAATCATCGCTTCCATCATCTGCTCATCCTGTCTTTCCGAACACTTTAACCCGGCTCTTCCAATCGAGCACAAATCAACAACAGTCATCGGAAAGTATCTCCAATCATCTGTTGAATAGTATTCAATCCACAACAACAAATTCTATTAGAAGTAACCCCGTTATGTCATCCGTTGATCCAACGTTTGATGGAGGCTATGATACCATGTCTCCTATACGCCCTCCAAGAGAAAGCTTGAAGAAATGCAACAACAATTTGATGACTCCAGTGATGATGAATTGTATGAAGAAGAAAGTTTACAACTCACATTTGCAAAGCAAGCAGCAGTAACTCAAGTACTAATTCTGGTAATGCGACAAGTGCTAGTGAGGACTCTTCATCGTACTATGTTACTGGTAGCAATGCATTTGGTATGCTCGGAATTGGAAATATTGTTTCTGATAGTTCAAAGGTTACGTCTTTTACGCGTATGAACAACCCTGCCATTGTGCCATCAAATATTAAAATCATGGCTTGTGGACATTATCATACTATAGCCATCACGAAAGACAATCAAATCTATGCATGTGGAAAGAATAATTACGGCCAACTTGCAATGGTAAGTCATTCACACACCACAATTAATTTATAGTTATCGTAATATTTCAATTTATGATCATATAATAATGCAATTAATTTATTTTGAAAATTCTGTGGCTCAAAATTGGGTAAAATGTTTGAAAATTTCCACACATACGTGTTTGTTACAAACCCACTGTCATTTTACTCGAATTCATTCCTTTTTATTTGATGAATGTTGTTCACGTTGCAACAGGGAAATCTCACAAAAGTATTTCCAATTTTCAAAATGGTAGAATCTAGCATGAATGGAATACCAAAAGAATTAATTAGAGACGTAAAATGTGGCAGATATCATACCATGTTCATTACAGATCAAGCTACAGATAATGTGTGGGTTTGTGGAAAAAACAAATCTGGCCAAATGTCACTTCCTTCAGCCAATATTTATCCTTCTCCCACTCGCCTTGTAGCTCAATTTTCAGGAAAAATTTTGTTTGCTTCTTGTGGATCTGAATTTACATTTATCAAAACCACCGACGGTGTGTATTCGTGTGGAGATAATTCAAGAGGTCAATGTGGACTTGGAGTGGACACTCTCCAAGTGAAATCCTTCAAACCACTCAAAACAAGCTTTTCTAGACTCAATATTGTACAGATAGAATGTGGAGAATTTCATTCTCTGTTTTTAACCGCTTCAGGAGAATTATGGGGCTCTGGTACAAGTGTGAATGGCCAACTTGGCTTTGATCCACAACTACTAGGTAAACAAAGTGTGAATAACCCTATCAAAATTGATACTCCCTCAATGAGACAATTAAGCAAATAAGATGTGGCTTCCATCACTCTGCTTTTTGACTCTAAGTGGAAAAGTTTATATTTGTGGCAGGAATGGTGACGGCCAGTTGTCGTGTGGTGAACAAACACCTAGACTTTTCACTTTTACGCATATACCCATCTCGGCCTCTTCTCTTAGTCATCACTTTGTACAAGATCTTTATTGCTACTCGTATTATTCCATTGCCATCACAGACAAGATGGAAATGTTCTTGACAGGATCCAACAAGTGTGGTCAATTAGGTACAGGAGAAGGTCAACGAGTGGACAAATTTACGCGCACATTCAAACATCGTGTTAAGGCTGTATATTGTGGCAGAGACACCTTAATGGTGGAGGCTGAAGATAGAGAGTATAATGAAGCTATTTACGATGACACTTTTGGAAAGATGTTGAACTTTGAAGATTCGAATTTGATTCCTCTTCTTGATTCATTCATTATTTGTAGCGATGGAAAGAAATTCCCCATTCTCTACGACTTTGTGATAACACGCTTTCCACTCCTAGAGAAGTATTCAAAAGAGGTCACAGAAGAGAGCAGTGTAGGCTCCTCCACAGAACCTCCTACCAAGAAGAGAAAATCTGGTGGTGATGATAGAACCATGAAGATAATTGACTTAACTCCTATTGCAACACTTTCGAGCAATTCTATTCTAAAGCTATTAACATACATCTGTACAGACGTGGTCGAGGACAGAGATAGCCCAAACTCTATACAGGACGATCTCAAAATTATACAGTGGATTACAGAAAATAGTGGCCTAGACTTCTCTGCGTCGTCTCAGGACACTTCAAACACCACTCGATTTATCAAATTAATTTTACAAAAGATTCTTACATCTATCACCAACACAACAGTTGTCAATGTATTGGGAGCTCTCCAGGTTCTCAAAAAGCATCCTTTGATTATTAACTTGTACAGACATTGCATTGCATTAATTCGAAAAATCGAAAAGACCTATACCATTAGCGAAATTGCAAACTTTGATCAACTCTCAAGGGAGGCATTACTGGAAACTCTAACATATGGAGAGAATTATCACTGCCTAGGCTCAAGTGACATCTCAGTTCCTCCCTCATCATTTTCAACAAATTTGGAACAATTATTTAACAACACTCAAAAATCTAATGGAAACATGGGAGATGTTACTTTATTGCTCAACAAAGAAGGCACCAGGGTATTGTATGCTCATAAGGCTATCCTTGCTGTGAAATGTGACTTTTTCAAACTTAAATTTACTTCTGGAATGGGTGACATGGATTCAAGACGGGTTGAAATTTATGAATGTAAGTAGTATGCATGTTTTTATTTCTCTTTGCAACATTATGCCTAATACGTACGTTATTCAATGACTATTATTTGCTTATCACAGATGCTGATGAAAATGAGATTCGTGCTCAAGAGGAATTTATCAGATATCTGTACACTGACAAAGTTGAGCTCACAAAAACAATGCCATTAGCTTCTTGACGAGATGGAATTTCTATTCAATGGACATCAATCATCCCATTAGCGTGAAATGTCAAGAAATTATTGTTGATGGATTGAATGAGCAAAACGTGTTAGAGTTCCAAAAGTCATTCTTCCTCGACCGATCCTCTCCTTATCATCATCTCAGAAAGGCTTGCATTCAAACCTTAATCAGATATTGGCCATCCATCAATGAAAGGTATTCCAAGAGACAAATCATGGAATACATGTCGTTTGATCGATATATCAAAGTCACACAGGCCTATTTGAAAATATTTACAAAGCGTACTGCTAAACTTCAGCAACAACTGCAAACTGTTCAACAACTGCAAACAACCCCAACAGCGCTTCAGAATTGATGAGCATGTGCATCCAATAAACAAGACAATACGCAGACAATTTACTTTCCTTGCATGATAGAAATACTATGATCCCAGGATTACTCTGTTGGGAGGATGTTAAATTGAGGGTATTCTCTAGAATAGCCACCTGGCAAGAAACCACAACAATCCAAAAAGAATGAAGCTTGTCACAACCACATAAAATCGATGATTTGAAAAAGGACCTCCATCCTCCATTCCATCATGGTCCTTTTCATCTACTCCGTTTGTTTCATCAAAATCGCAATAATTATTCTCTCTCGCCAATACTCGACGTCTCAATTCATCTCTCTCTTGCTCATTGTCACATCGAACCACTCTCATTTTCAATCCAAAATGATCAGAAGCAAACAAGTAGTCATAACCAGAATCCACCTTCATTAAGGAAGAAGCATTCAAACAGAAACGAACGATCTTCCACCACAATGGCACTCTCCATTTGGCACGATTAGTAATCCGGGGTTCATCATTATTCGTGACCTCATTCAACAACTCTTGATGATGTGGCAAAGATCTCTTGTTGCTAAAAAACAATTCTCTCAACGGCCGATTGGCAAATAATTTAACTTTGCAAGATGGAGCACACAAGCTCGATTCATGCATTAATATACGGTCTAATCTCATTCTTCGAATTTCCATTCCATAAAACATCCATCGCACCAAATCATTCAAACTCGAATCAAATGTGTAACCTTTCGAAGTTCGTGTCTCATTCCAAGCATCAATAAAATTCATATCAGAAATGACAACGTCTTCCTTTTCATCATGCAAATTTAAATCTCCCATTAAAATAACATCTAATTTTGAGTTAGTGGAACCTTCATCATTTTTTGTAGCTCTTTGCAACAATGGATGAGAAATGATGGCCAATAATTCATGCCGCCGCTTCATTGCAAATTCTGTCATGGCAGTAGTATGTGCTCCAATGATACATAATTGTGCGGAATGATCGGTGACGGTAGTTCTATTATTGAACATGTTCGAATGCATTTTGGGCACATGTGAAAAGAAGGCATAAATCACTGGACGACTTTCATGGATTTTCAATTCCATATACATGTAATCTGGAGCATATTTTGAGAGAATTAAGTTTCCCATTTTTCTTCCTAATGATTCATTCAAAGTGTCACTTGTTCTCAAGCTGCCAAATGAATGATCATTTTCAACTTTAAAAATGTCACTAAAATAGTAATTCGTTTTGAAAAACTCATCTTGTTGCAAGATTTTCAAAAACTCTGCAGTAACTTCATTCAACACAAGAATATCGAAATTTTCTTGTTTCAATAACTGAACTGTGTATGCGTAGCGTTGTCTCGACCGAATGATGGGTTTAATAAAAAACGGCACCAAATCAAACAAGACGTTAAAAGTTCCAATTTTTAAACCCAACTCACGAGATTCTCCAATCAATCCTTCCTTCTCATCATCATTTTTCATTGATTGAAAAAGATACTTTTCCGATGGAATTATTTTTGAAAGCAAGCGAGTCCATTCTTCTAAATCTTCACATTGTTCCGTGCTATTACTACAACTAGTCAATGCTTTAAAACGATTTTCATAAAATTTCCATTCCTTCCTCCGAGTGGAACACTTGGCAATTTTCAAACGGACGCACGTGCGGGGAAGATTTGGTTGTTGTTGTTGTTGTTGGGAGGACATTTTTTTTGTAAATTCGACGCAAAAAAAATGAACACAAATGAAGACGTTGTAATGAATAGTATCAACCAAACATTGATGACCCACTCAGAAGCTTTCGGAATCATCTTTAAACATATTGAGAATTTCTCAAAAACATTGGACGGATTATCTAACCACATCAATAATCGGAAACAAAAGGTAAAGTCAGTTAAATTAGTCTCCGACAGCAACCAACCAATTAAACCTAAACAACCTCTTCCTCCAAAAACAACACTCATAGAACAAACTCCATCCCCTGCACATCCTTATCGAACTGATGGACCATCAAACCAAATATCTAAAATCAAAAATATTACACATCCAACAAACAAATCGAAAATCAACAATCAAAATAAGACAACAAACTTCATCACCAACACAAACCTCACCAAACCAATTGAAACAAGCACAAACCTCATCAAACCAATTGAAACAACTTCAAAGCCCCAAAGTCAACCCCAGCTTCAATCTAAGAGCCCACCTATCAACACCAGCTTCAACCTGAATGAATCGCAATCGTCATACTTGCAAATAGCCAAGACAGCCAAGAACATTACATTTGATCCAACAAAAAACTCCGCAAATCAAATCCTACAATACAACAACAACCATGTACCCTCCTGCTAAAAGAGCTAAAACAATTAACTATTCTCACTGTGTATCTATTTACCTCAGTAAGCATATCGACTCAGACATCACTGAATTTATTACAGATGCAGTCAAAGAAAAACTTACATCATGGTACATACCTAACAACAAGACGCACGTACTCCAACTTGTCTGTAACAATCATGAAGATTATGTATCAACCTTGGGAATTTTAAACTCACAATCAACAAGAGACTCCAGTCCATTCAAATACGTTGTGACTCCTATGAATTTCTCACCAGCTGAACACACCCTCAAATATCATACTTCATCATATGACGAGATGATGAAGTATACTACACATTATCAAAAATTTTTGGAAAAGAACTAATGGAGTTAAAGAAACTAATACCAGTTATGACAGAGTCCAAAAGCTTTATAAAATCAGAATAGCAGTTGAATCTCTTGAAGATAAAGAATATTTTATGGCAAGGAAATATTCTGAATACCGATCCATTGACCAGATCATAACAGAATCTAAGCTTAACTGCTCTTGCAATTTTTCATCCCTCTACACAGAGAAAGATATCAAAACTGCGATACAAAAGATGGTGGAAAAAAGCAACTGTGTCTTCCAATCAAACCACTTAGAGATTATTAACAAACCTAGCCCATATCGCCCTGGAGAGCATTATTATATAGCCAATTACAAAGCAACTAATGTTGCAGAATTGGAAAAAATTACAAAATTCCCAACAAGTATCACTCCACCAAATGGCACAAAACCAACCTCAAAAAACTCATATCTACAACCAAATATTTGGTAGAAAAATTCAAAAACAACAAGAAAACGAAGTGACTGGTGCAACCAATAATTTCCAATTCAATAATGACCTCTCAGCATTAGAAAAGAATCACAAATCACTTCAAGTAGAATGTACTGAAAACTCAATCAAACTGGAATCACATTCTAAACAAATACAAAACATCACCAATACACTAACAGACCACACAAAATCCATACAGACCATTTTTGAAAAACTCAACGAAATAGCTTCCAAAATGGAAAATATTGAATTACATTTGACAAAACCGTACCATCAATTAATTCATGAATCCAAGGATGATGTAGAAGATGAAGATGATGAATCTTATCACCCAAAACCAAATGAAAATAGTGATGATGAAATGGAATATGACGAAGAAGAAGATATAGTAGAACCTAGAAGAGGTGATAAACCTCTTGGAAATAAGAACAATTAAGTCACCAAAATGTAATTTGAAAATTGGCTGTTTTAACTGCAACGGGCTCATAAAGACAGCCACAAAAGAAATATTGACAAATGAAATCAAAGGGATGTGCTACAATCATAACATCCAAATCATGTCAATTACTGAAACACACTTAAAAACATATGAAGATCA